GTATGATCGTACTTTATCTGCAAAACATTTTGGTAGTCCTGAAAGGAACTTTTCTTTCTAGTGGATGTTGTCAGCATCGTAAAGGGTTAATAATCTGGTAAGGAAGACATCCTCATACCAGCAGAAATGGGATAAAGTAGGACACCTAAGGTTATGTAAGCTTTTATTTTTCCTACAAATGATGAGTTATTGTAACAAGAAAAATAGAGAATGCGTCTTGTTCTGTTTGTCTTGACCCATTTTTTAATAATTTGATTATTTTTATATGTTTTATGATGAGTAAGGATCATTTGTTTTTGACTTACATTTAAATAATTATTCCACCATCCTTCCAAATGCCCTAAAAAACCTGCAACTATTAAATTGACTACTGTGTGATCTGAGTTATTTCCTAATAAATGAGTTGTAGCATACATGGTCATATTTTGGATAGTATTTAAAATTTGATGCTAAGTCAAATAGTATTCCATTCATTGATAGAGTCACCTGAAAATATTTGAGTGACAACATTTGGGACTTCTTTAAATTGAATATCTACTGGTGATGGATGTGCATAATAACTTTGTCTTAACATTTCTTGTAACATTCATATTGTTATGTGTCTTTCTGTCTAAGTGGCATTCTTAAAATATTCTGGTGTTATTTCATCAGATTTAGTATTAGTTTCTTCTGTAGAATAGAAAAGAATCCTCTGAGTCTTCTTCACTGCTATTGGCTCAAATAAAACATTTATTTGGTATCTAAGAGATGACTTTGATATTGGTTGGTTAAAGAATCAAGTTGATATGTAGAACTTTTTAAAGGTTCATTTACTAAATTTGTTACCTCTGGAAAATGAGGCATTGAAGTAACTAAAGGTTTTATCCCAAAAGGTAAAGGTTGCCTTATTGGTTTGGGAATTATAACTTGTGGAGAAGTTTGTTGGAATAATACTTCTCCTTTTCCTGTAAAAATAATATGTTTTATTGGTTGAACCTCATCTTTAATATCTTCTAGAATAGTTTCTATTCTTTCAGTTTGAGATCCTATGGTCTATAAATAAAGATTTGTGTAGTTTTGTTGCTTTACTGTGTCTTTTGTTGTTAATATTCCAGAAACATCTCTTAGAGCTATTGCTAACATATTATTAGAGATAATCATACTTTTATTAGGAGGATGTAGTGAAGATACTTCTTCATTTTTCTTTGTGCTTTCTTTTGTTGTTAATATTCCAGAAGTATCTCTTAGAGCTATTGCTAACATATTATTAGAGACAATCATACTTTTATTAGGAGGTTGTATTGAAGATACTTCTTCATTTTTCCTTGTAGCACAAAGCTTAGAGTTGGTTTGAATGGAATTAATAGTTTCATTAGTATCTTTATGACCCAATTAGAATAATAGTGTTGAAACCAATAGTCATACCATTCTTCGATGGTATATGAGTTTGTAATTTTTCTAAAAGTTCATAAAACAATTTTTTTATTCTCTCTTTCTTCTTCACTTCTATGTATCCTAAAAAAGATTTGTCTATTTTGTTTATTTTCTTTTGAGAAAAAATTCTTGTCCTATAGCTTCTTTATTATTTCAAAAGAGGATATAACATTACAGTCATATTCATCTTTCTTATTGTGAGAAGAGGTGTAAATGGGAGAACATGTTCCAGTAGGCTGAAGGCTATTTTCTAGACCAATAGTGGATCCTCTACTAGTGGTCATTTTAAAACGTTTACTTCTTCTATGTTCTTCTAAAATTACTTTATATTAGAATCTCTTTTGAAGGAAATCTCTATATCTTCTTCTTTTAATGATTCTACCACTAATTCTAATTCAAAATCTTGTAAATTTTTTGGACATTCCAATGTTCTGGTAATCTTATTTCTTCCCACCTTAATTTTTTAGGGATGATTCTCCTATTTTTCAAACCTGTTTCAAACAAAGTTGTATACCCAACTGATTTGATAGTTCTATTTTGAGGGTTTAAAGTGTTCAGTACCCTAAAATAAGTTCTATAAGTTACTAACAATATTTTTAGATCCTTCTATCATGTTGGACCCTTGAGTGCAAACAGTTAAAGTAAAGGTTTTTAATGCTTGCCTTTCACAGAGATTAAATTAGGGTAACAGTAAAACCAAGCAGGTCTATTATAAAGACTGGCTGCTGTTAGTCCTAATAAAGAATCTTTAAAATTTAAAAATATTTTGTCGTGTACATAAGTTTAAATAGAAATATTTATCCCTATTCTGGTAAAAGGAATTAATGCTACTTGGAAAAGTCATATCATTCATCATCATCATTTTAGCCTTTTCCCAATTAATTGGGGTTATCTAGTAAAATTCATATATGAATATAATTATATTTTTCTTTAATATATTTCAGAATTTTATCATCTAGTATAGATATTATTAACTGATTATTTGATAAAAGTTCAAACCTTTCAATGGTTTCAAGTGTTTTCTTACCAATAAAATTAAATGTTCCTATTTTATACATAGCTTCCGGTTTTATCAAAGGTAGCTTCCAATTTGAAGTAATTTCATTGTCTTCTATAGTTATTTCTTCGAGCTTAGTGATATTTTCCATGTCTATCAAAGTGATGTTATCTCTTAGGAATTTGTAAATTTTATTCATAGATTAATGGTTTCAGACGAGGCCAACTTGTAAGCTTGCTAAGGCCAACCTATAAGTCAAAAAGTAATCAGTGAGTGAGGGCTTTTATGCCCTATCAAGCCATACTAAGGCATTCTAAGGGTTTTCTTGGCTCCGTTGTGCACTAAAAGTTTCTTAACTCTGTAGGACATAGTAAGTTGAGCTTAGGCGAGATGTAGTACTTTGGAACTATTAAAGAATGGATTTACGGAATCCCAAGAGATAGCATGTCTTCGTCAGACATGGAAAATATAACTAATCTCGAATAAATAACTATAGAAGACAATGAGATTAGTTCAAATTGGAAGTTAACTTTGATAAAACCAGAAGCTATATATAAAATAGAAACATTTAATTTTCTTGCTAAGAAAACAGTTAGAACCATTGAAAGGTCTGAATCTTTATTGAATAATTAATTAACAATATTTATACTAGATGATAAAATTCTAAGATATATTTTAAAAAATAATATATTCATGTAGGACTTTTCCAGTTAGCATTAGTTCATAGGAATAAGACTTCTATTTTATCATGTGTACAAAGCAAAAGATTTTAAATTTTAAAGACTCTTTATTAGGACTAACATCAGCAAGTCTTTATAATGGACCTGTTTGGTTTAACTGTTATCCTAATTTTACTCTCTCTTTAAAAGACAAGCATTTGTTAAAAGCTTTTACTTTAACTGTTTGCACTCAAGGGTTCGACATGAAGAAGGATCTAGAAATATTGCAATAATGTATAGAACTTATTTTAGGATACTGAACACTTTAAATCCTCAAAATAGAACTATTGAATTAGTTGGGTATACAACCTTCTTTGAAACAGATTTGAAAAATAGGAGAATTATCCCAAAAAATAAAGGTGGGAAGAAATAAGATACCAGAAATTTGGAATCTCCAAACTCAAGTTATTAAGAAACCAATAAAAAATTTACAAGATTCTGAATTAGAATCATTAGAAGGAGATATAGAGATTTCCCCCAAAATTTTTAGAAGAAGTAAAAGTTATAAAATGATCACTATTAGAGGATCCGCTATAGGTCTAGAAAATAGCCTTCAGCCTATTGGAAAATGTTATCCCATTTACACCTCTTCTAGCAATAATAAAGATGAATATAGTTGTAATGTATCCTCTTTTGAAATAAATAAAAAAACTATAAGACAAGAATTTTTCTCAAAGAAAATAAACAGAAAAGACATCTTTTTTTAACAGACATAGAAGAAAGAAGATAGAGAGAAAATACAAAAATTGTTTTATGAACTTTTAGAAAAATTACAAACCCATATACCAATCTTCGAATGGTATGACTGTTGGTTTCAACTCTGCTATTCTAATTGTGTCATAGAAGATACTAAATGAAGTCATTAATTCAATTCAAACCAACTCTAAGCTTTGGGCTATTAGTAAAAATGAAGAAGTATCTTCCATACATCCTCCTAATAAAAGTATAATTATCTCTAATAATACGTTAGCAAAACTTCTAAGAGACACTTCTCAAAAACAACAAAAGACATAGTAGAGCAGCAAAACTATACAAATCTTTATTTACAGACCATAGGATCTCAAACTGAAAGAAGAGAGACTATGCTTGATGAGGTTCAACCAATAAAACCAATTACTTTTATAGTAAAAGGAAAGTAATTAGTCTAATATAATTTTATAGTATTACCATATACCAAGCGAAGGAATGTCATAAAAGAGTAAATTTTATTAAATAAGTAAACATACCGTTGCGCACTGAAAGTTTCTTGACTCTGTAGGACGTAGTAAGTTGACCTGGGCGAGACGTAGTACTTTGGAACTATTAAAGAATGGATAATGTCAGGCTAGTGGGGTATGTCATGTTTTTAGGGAAGGTAGTGGTTTGTTTAGCAGGACTGAATGGAAGTGGAATCTGTGCGCTACATGGTCATTCCCTTGGTTCTCATAAAAACTTTCTGCTTTATATTTATTTAAGTAATTTTAAATTGCAGAAGTTTATAGTGATAGAATTTTGTTGATGATATGAGAATGTGAATATGCTTATGTAAACTGTTGTGAGGGAGAGAGAGAGACTACTCCAAGTGGTTGTCACACATTGCAATTGGGAGCCCAAATTGCTATTGATTCCCAGTTGCAGTTTGAAAAACAAAAATGCTTGTCGGGTCACATTTTAGTTGTAATTGGGTCGAATGCAATTTGGTCAGAAATCAAGCATATCCTATATAAATATGCAGTAGAAAACACTACTTGTTATTGCACGTGTTTTAAAGGAACTTTGGAGTAGCTTTTCTATGTGATATTGCGTTCAGAGTTTGTCGCCATATGGAATCTACAATCCTGATGTGAGTTAAGTAATTAATTGCTCTATTGCTTTGTTCTTGTGTGGAACAGAACTTGTCATCTAGTGAGTTTGCTATTGGAAGAGCTCGAAATGACAGCTGTTGCATTGCATTCATACAAATCCCAATCGCTAAGACTTGCTGCACTTAATCGATTTAAATCTGGTCAAGCTCCTATCTTGTTGGCAACTGATGTTGCTGGTCGTGGCCTGGACATTCCAACTGTTGATCTTGTCATCAACTATGACATTCCAAGGTCCCTTTTGTTGTTGAGTTATATATATATATATATATATTTGGAGTTATCTTGATTGTTGTTCTTAGGAACATTGTCAAACATGCTATTTTTGATGTTGTTATTCTGATGCAGGTATCCACGTGACTATGTTCATCGTGTTGGTCGTACAGCAAGAGCTGGTAGGGGAGGACAGGCTGTGAGTTTGGTAACTCAGGTTTGTCAACTTTATATGGTTTTCTTAACATGGAGTCTTGATGCCAAGTCATGTGGTTTTCTTATCATAGAGTCTTGATGCCAAGTCATGAGCTAAACTTATTTTTATGAGATATATATTGACAACACATAAATGTATCTCCAGTTGTACTTGGGTGGTTGGGTGGGTGTTGGGTGTGTGTGTGTGTGTGATGTGACTGTATCTACATGTTAATGCGGATCCATGTTGTGTGGATGTTGGGAAATTGAACCTTTAGTTTAATAAATGTTTTATTTAAAAAGAATTGAACTGCATTATATGCCTGTAGAAAAATATTTTCAGGAATTTGTGGAATAAATGGGCATAGAAAATCAGTAAGAAAACAATGTCATTTATAGATTTTAAAAAAAATGATAGAAGACCAATGGTCCATGAAATTAGAGGAGCTCAACATGGTCAGATGGTCTCTCCCACAGTTCCCTCAATTCTACTTGTGCAGTTTTACTTATATCATGTGAAGCCTATTGTGGTGTCATTTGCAGTGGCTACCCACTGGTCATGGCACTGTTTTATTTCCTAGCTAAAATTGGAATTGGGGCCTATTTGAAAATTTCTCAGCAAGGATTTGACCTCAGTGTATGTTTGATTCGTAATTTGAATTGATTCCCAGCTGCAATTAGGCTCCCAATTTGATCGTTTTTCAAAACTACTCCAAGTTTGCAAACAAATTCAGTCTGGCTCTCTCTTTCTCTCTCTCCCACCATTACCACCATCACCATTGCCACCACCACCACCACTACCCCACCAACACCACCACTGCCTACTTGCCACTATTCCACCACCCACTACACTACCACCATTGCCATTACACCACAATGGCATCACCACTTTCACCTTCCACCTCCACCATTGCCATTACACCACTATGGCACCACGCCATTCCCTAGCCGCCACCACTGTATCACCACCACCACCACTCTAGCACCACTGCCTACCCACCACCATCTCTTCACCGCTTACCTGCCACCACCTCCACCACGGCTCCATCTCCACCCCCCCCCCCCTCCTCCCTCACCACTCCACCACCACCACCACTATCACACCACATAATAACAATTTATAACTCCAATCGTAACAATCAAACACCCATAGAGCGAATGACAATTAACCAAATTGCCAATTTGTTAATTGCAAATTGAAAAAGAGCTCTATTTGACAAAATTTTGCTATCAAACAGTCCCTAAATGTTGAAATACAATATTCAAGCCATTGAATGTTACATGTTTTGGGGCATTGAAGCCATTAATATGTGACACAATTTCTGAAGAATTTTGGGTTGTTTCTCACTTTCAAAAAGTATTTTGATAGTGGTTTCCTTGGCATGTGTTTAGCTTTGTCCATTAAATAGGCAGTCTGAGTTAGAAAGTGTGATTTTGTTCTTTGGGACAAAGCAAAATTAATTGCATTTCCGGTATTTCATCTTCATTCTTGGCATGACACATGTCATGGTTATTTTTCTGTTTCTTAGTGCCGTGCCTCAAACTAGAGGTCAACAAGTGACAAACAGACATATGCATCATAATGTGGCATCAGTCGAAATTTTAGTGGTTGGGAAGCTTGATTATTTAGGGGGAGCTTGTTTCTTGGAACATAGATATCAAGACCGGACCAGATGGCCCAATCCAACTGATTAGTTGTCAAAAAAGAATGTAGAGATTCAATACATCATACATTTTAGCTATTGTAGTATAAAATTCGTTTATGTTTAGTATGACCTAGATTGAGTGGTCATATCACTGACTGTAGAAGACAGTCTAAATGGGTAGTACCAGTGTTAAAAAATTACTAGTTCGTGTCAGAATCCCCGGTTTGAACAGGGGCTTTTCTTTTTATATTGTGTGTTTTTGTTTCTTTTTTTTTTTTTGGGGGAGGGGGGTTGGGGTTCGGGGGGTGGGGGAATGGTTTGTTTCGCCTTGAAGAACCCTGGAATCACACAATTCCCTTGGTCTTTTTTCTTTTTGCTTTTGTATCTGTACATGAATCGGGAATTGTCCTATCTGGACCTAGTGAATTGGAATCGATTATGCCATTCTAGCGTCTAGGGGCTGATTCAGATGTTTAAACATTGCTTCGTACGTATTACTATCATCATTGGATAGGATATTCATCGGATTCAGGTTTTCCTCAGTCCCTTCTCATCAACGCACCCTTGACATGTGGCAAGAACTTTGATGTTAGTGGGCAACAATCAAACACCCTTGAAGCTCCATCTATCACTTTTTTGTTCTTGTTTTGGAGTGATTTGACATGCGATTTACATGGTCCTTTTAGAATTGACTTCTGGCTTGAATTGTTTCTATTACAAAGTCTATTAGTTTATCTTTGTTGTTAGGGTATATTTTCTTAATGAAAATGGGTAGGAACCCAAATCCCTGCTGAATTACCCAAAAAAAGAAAAAAAAATAAAACTTTTGTTGTTAGGGTCTAATGCCTACCTCAACAATGTTTTTAGTTGTCTATGTGTTCGGTCATGCATTATTGTGTTAAAAGCAGCTTTAATGAGTTGATATGCTTTCATAAAACTAGGAAACATGATTTATTTATTTTTTTATTTATTTAATTTATTAAATAATTTTCTTGGGCAGAATGATGTATGTCTTGTACATGAAATAGAAGCTGTAGTTGGAAGACAATTAGAGGAGTTCGCATGTAAAGAGAAAGAAGTGCTTGCTGATATCACTAAGGTTAGCAAATTTTGCAAGTTATTTATCTTTTTCTTTTTGCCTTTTCAGGGAAATGTATACTAGTTAAGGGAGCATATATAATGCCTAGGGAGGATAGCAACAGTATCCTGCCTAAACTCTACAAAAATTAAAGGGGGACAAAAAAGAAACACTATCCCAACTAGGGAATGCTTTATATTTTGCCAAAATTATCTGAGGAAATTCCAAATACTCTTTTTGTCTTTACGTATTTTGGTAGCGAGTCTCTCACTGCATGATGCACATGTCAGTTGCCTCTATGAATCATCCATTAGATTGCGAAAAAGTGCATGGAGTTGTATAGTGCTAAGCCAAGATACAATGTCCTAGTAAACAAACTTCCAATGCCCAGATTGTGCGGTCTACATTTCTTTTTCTGCCTATGCATGTCAATCCCTTGAACTTATCCGAAGGATTTGATGTGTGCTATTTTTTTGGGCCGTTCTGAAACTGACATTTAGTTCTTCTAGAAAAAGGTGGAAAGTCAATGGTTAGTTTATCTTTCTTGCCAATAGACTCTGTACTTTTCAATGTCATAAGCTTATCATGCTTATATGATGCTTTTAGAATACTTATACCACAATACATGTAGTATAGTACTAAGTATACACGTATTTTCCAATGTCCTTTCTTAATGAGAAATGGTAAAGATCAACAATTCCTCACTCTGTCATCTTAAATGGAATAAGTGTTCATCTCCATGGTTAGTTGTCAATCACAGACGGTGGAGGCTGCATTCAATATAACTACAAGCAGTATGCTTTACATCCCTTAGAACATAACTTAAGAGAAAACCTCATGCATAGATGTTCATAACAGGTCATTGTTCACGTGCGTACACAATGTTCTGGTGGCAAAAGCCCTATTTATTCACCCAACACATGCAGTATGTGGCGGAGGACTCCAAAGTTTGGGCTGGAGTTTTACATTGGCCATGGCATATGGAAATTGTACTCCGCGCATCTATCCACATTTTGCTAATGTTTATAGATCATTATGCTAATTTAGAAAATATTCTTTTGGCATCCAATCATCCATTTTTAGTGAATTTGATGAGCTGTAGCGAATACATGGGCTGCGTATGCTTGATTTATAAAATTATGTTGTTAATGGAAACTAAAAACTAATCTAAAAGGTATTTCCAAAAATGCGTCAAAAAAGTGGCAGGTATAGTTGAGAAGATGCACATGCTGGTTTTTTGGTGACGAAACTGTACTACAGAAAACATATATCATCCCATTACTTATTAGGAAACAAAGATTGTTTGTTCTATTATAATTTGATTGCTTATATGCTTTGGAATTTGAAGGTTTACAAGGCCAAACGGGTTGCAATGATGAGGATGGTTGATGATGGTTTTGACGAAAAAATGAAGCAGAGAAAAGCCCAAACGTTGAGGACCTTAGCAGAGAAAGGTTTCTTGCAGAAAAAAAGGAAAGAGCGGGAGTGAGAAACAGTCCAGTTCCTTAGTAGTGCGTGCAGTATTTGTATCCAGTTACCCAGGTTTTGCAAGAGATGTTTTGGGATATCCAGTCTTTTACTAGGATCTGCGGTGCATTCTTGCCTGTTTTCAATGTGGTTCAGCTGGCAGCCCTTTTTGTATCCAGTTACTGAGGTTTTGCGATAATGTTTCAGTAACTGGGCCAGACCAACCAGTTCAAATAGGACCAGGACTACATCCGGTTCAACAAGGAAACTTGCATTTTGGGATTATTTAAGACAGAAAAAAGGTTAAACTTGATTGAATATGTTAAATTGGGTTAAACTAGCCTGTAGACCTGCAGACTTTTTTTCTTAATTATCTGTATTCTATTTGTTTTTGTTATAGAACAACTAATTGTACTGGCACATGAACCAGATTGTACGGGGCTAGGCGAGGCGGGCTCTCTCCAATTCAACCACAAGCCTGGTAATGAGGGATTGGCTTAGAGGTTTTAATTTTAGACTTTCAAGCGATGAAAAGAAAAATATTTCGTGGTTGCAAAATGTTCTGTTCAAGGAGCAATGTGGAGAGAACTTGGAAAATATTTTTGTATAGTATCCTTGGCTTATTGGGTGTAAAATTTTAATAATGTGGAATAGCTGTGTGCGTGCGTGTGCGTGTGTGTGTGTGTGTGAGAGAGAGAGAGAGAGAGCCCTATTTTGTGGACATGGGAATGAAAGCCTTGTCTAGGAGGTTACCTTTAAAATGCTGCATTTAGATGAGGAAATTTATCCCTTGGTAGTGATATATTCTTTCAGGAAGATGTGAGAAACATTGTTCCATGTTCATAGGAATGTGCGATTGGATCCATCACAAATTTGGGTTACATTTTCCCCCAAACTTAAATTTGTTGGGACTTCATTTAATTTTTGTAGCAATAGTTGCGCCAATTTATCAAATGTTACGAAAAATTCACCCGGACACTTGCATGGCAGGACACATGGCAGCAAGGCTTAAAAACATTGTTTGGTGATCCGGAATGCCTTCAGGATTTTTATTTGGTTCGGTGGATTGACGATATGGAAGCTATTTGGATTCCTAAATCAGATATGAATTATTTTTTTTTAAAAGTTGGGTAGGTTCTAACCAAATCTATAGTTCTTGCCGGTTTTGTCAGGGAACTGGTCAGAGCTGGCCATGTCATGAGGGTAATTGCCTGGTTCTTGATATTAAACATGAATCGGTTCGCAATTGATGGTTTCCAATCTAGATTGTGTGATTTTGATTTGGATCATTTTGCTTAAAACATTGCTTACTAAATAGTTGGAGCTAAAAAAAAATGGTGGATCTATGGCATGGTAGTATTTCCAATGGTATCTTAATTCCATGGAAAACCTGAGTGGACTCATCATTCGGTTAAACGGTGGACATACCTAGTTGACGTAGAAGTTTAAAAGTATAACCCCAAGTGTAATTTATAATATTTTGACCCTTTTGAAATTGCAAGGGATTTCAACCCTTTTTTTTTATATTTTTCCTAAAATATATACAATATCAATGTGGAAGAGATTCCCCATAGGCACAAATATAATAAAAACATGCACATTAAATGCCTAAACTTCTAATCGACTTAATCAAATGACAAATAGCTTTTAAAATCAACATTTTAATAATTGATAATATAACGAAGGAAATTTTTTTTTCTTACAGTCTTATATACTGAATAAATGATGTTCGGAACTGGATATATAGGAACGCAATCGACTTAGAACCTAACATGTACATATTTACAGGAAAATACTAAAAGAAGCGATAGGTCCAAGAAAAAAGCGAACTAAGGATGGTCAAGAAACCATCGAACCATGAACACCATTTAAATAGGCAAAGATATATTTTGAAAAGAATTCAGTTTCTACAAGACTTAAGCCTTATGAAAAAAAAGTAAAGCTTCACATCTGAAGTGTTTAGACATGAGAAATCACTATGACGGCTGTAAAATTATTTCTACTACCGATTATAAAATTTATAGCTCAAAAAATGGTACAGATCTTACGAATATGTGAATACTTGAAAATAGACGGTCTAGATGATGTGTTACAATATATACTATTTTTAGACCTTGAAATTTCAAATTTTTTGGAAGGTTTTTTTTTATCCCCAAACAATTTTCAGTAAATTTTGAGGTGAAGCTTTATTTTTTTTTGTAAGAGGCCTTATTCTAACCTTTCCTTTTTTTGTGAATTATTAAAATATAAAGTTGCCAATCAAAGATCCACACCTAACCAAGGCAAATCGAATAAAAAAGAGGCTAAACTTATATCAACTCATATCAACGCGTAAATAGCATAAGATGGATAAACAATCATCAAAAGCCTATAGCAACTACAAACACACTGGAGAAAATCCACATGGCAATGAACCAAAGCACTAATTATTGAATTAACAAAGAATCTTTGTCTAAAGTGGCTTCACGAAAAGATATATACTCATTTCTAAGCAATATAAATAGGGAAAGGTTTCTATATTTCCCCATAGAAGATCTATGCTTTCCATACCATCCAGCCGTCCAATTTTGATCAAGAGAGTCACTCATTGTTTGTTCTTAGATCCGACATCTCAAAGTATTTTATGTTTAATTTTTTTTATACAAATTGTATGAATATGAAATTTGGTAAGTGTCATCTTCTCATTGAGACGCACGTATAAAAAATATTAGAAATAAATTTTAGATAAAATACAATTACCAAAATACCCCTCAAAACTTTCAAGGGTATTTTGATCATTTTATTTTATTAGAAATATTTTTTTATATTTTTCACTAGTGTGAGTTTAATAGATGAATGGACGTACAAAATTTGGTGTCAAAATAGTTTATAGAAAAAAATGAAAAATAAAATAATGTAGAAACCTGACATTGTGTGACTGGGACAATCTTAACCCTCCATTCAGGGTGGATGGTTGGACAAGGGGAAGTAAATAAATTTTATGTTGTAGAGAAAGCATAGAAAGCTTTCCCACATAAATAACCCCGGGAAAAAATGTACCTCATTTGAAACAACAAAGATAACCAACATAGGAAAATAACACTCATAGAGTGTGATGGTTCCATTCAATGCACATGTAGTAAAGGAGTGCTTACTAAAATTCAAACCATATCGGGCCAACTCATGTATTTCTCAAGTCCTCCATGAACACCAAGCCATTAATATTTGTAAGCAACCTCTCATTTTTCATTACGTATTATACGTAACTAAACTAAGACCAGTTACTTTTGGTATACGATTACAATCATTAATGATCGTAAGATGTAAAATCAAGTGATTAGGGTTTTATCATTGACAGAGAACAAAGTTCAATATATATTTTTTCTAATGCTACGAGGCATCTCAATATGTAGGATTTTATGACCAATGGCTAGGAGCAATTGGTATCTCCTCGTACCAAAAGTGAATGGTCTTACAGTATACAATCTCATATTAAAAAATTCAAAATTTCTACACAAAACGAAAAGTTAAGGACCACCATGTTGTTAAATTAGATGATTTAACCACCTTAATAATTTAACATTTTAGTGATATTTTAATCAATATAATAAATTCAATAATGTGAAAAATAAAGAACATAAAAGATTTCAATTGGTGAGTCAATTTCTTAATAATCCACCCAAAGAATGACATGGTTAAATCAATCTTTCGTTATTATTCCCACCCAAGATGCAAGTGGAAAATCAGAAGCACTTGGTAGCAAACTAAAAAAGTAAGTGTATAAGAGTGAATTTGCTAAATTTTTTTAAAAATATGATTAAAGATTGTTTAAAAAAAATATTAATTCATTTAACCATCTATATCTCATTTACTTTCTATTCTTTTTGAGTAATGATCTTGTAGGACCCTCTAATCTCTAGTGATTGAATCAACCTTATATAATATGTTTGTAAGATGAGGCTCAATTAAATAAAATTAATATTAGATTTAAAAGGAGAAATCTACCAAAAATCCTATTTTATATTTGAAATTAAAAATAGTCCGATACATTTCACATTTACATTCAAGTCCTACTTTTTAAAGCATATTTTGTATTTTAATTTATCTTTTTCTATATATATCACGATTAATTTTAAATATGGTATGCTCACATTTCTCACCATTATACACCTATAAAAAATATTACAAATAATTTAAAATTAATAAAATACCAAAATACCCTGAACACCATAGAAGTATTTGGTTAATTATTATTTTTAAAATATTTTTAAATTATTTTTAAAATTTGTTTTATGTGTGTCCGATGAAAAATATAAACATACCAAATACAAGTTAATCTGGTATATAAACAAACAGATAAAATTTAATTAGAGTAAGAAAAGTATGCAATGAGACCATTTATCTTTGGTATAAGGTGGTCACAATTGACCTTGACCGTTGGATGTGAAATTGGGTGGTTGCATGTATTCTATTGACCAAAGTCAAAGTCCAAAACAAATTTTCTCGAACTTGTGATAAATCTAAGCTATCAGATTTCACATTGGATGGCTATAGGTAGTTGTGACCTATTTGTATCAAAGGTTAATGGTCTCATTGTATACAATCCTATTCGATATATGCACTCAAAAAGTAGAACTCAAATGTAATATACACAAAATATGGGATTACTATGAAAATTTCCCGATTTTGAAATAAGAAAAAAATTGGTGTACAAAGCCACTTCCTTGCTAAAAATGTATAAAAAACTAGATAGAAAAGATTGTTTACATGTCAAAAAAACCATAAAGTTGAGCATATCGACCCTGAGAACTACAGATATTAAAAGAAAAAAAAGATTTGCTATATTTGCAGCGGAATTTTGAATGCAAATCCAACCAAAAAATTGCAGATCTCAAATCCGCCAAAAAAAAAAAAAAAAGCAAAAGAAATGCTTTTCTTTCCAAACGGCTACAATTTGAAAAATCGACCAGTTTTGGGTTGTATTTGAAGACAAATCTAGCTAAAAAATGGTGAATTTCAAATCTGCCCAAGAGGGACGAAACACAGTTTTTTTTTTCTAAAAAAAACTTTTCTATTTAACAAAGTCGTAATATGCTAAAACATTGTTTCAAATCATGCAATACGTATTGTTGATTGAAGACAACACTCTTTAAAACAAAAACCCAACCAAATTCTAGAAAATTTATGAAGTATATGATTTTTTAGAAAAAATCCAAGGGCACTTTTAAAAAATGAAATCGAAATTTTTAACTCAAAATCTCTTTGAACATGGTTTTTGTATTAAAGAAATGGTACTACATATCTATTAGAGAGCTCAAATTTAGGTTTTTTTTTTTTACACAAATTTCATGAAGTTTATTTGATAAAATCAAGATAAATCAAATAATAGCAGATAAGGGGTTTTGAGGCCGAAAGTGCCGAGTCATTGATCTCGCAATGTGGCCCAGAATGGTTTTCATGCAAAATGGGTTTTGGTGGATCTAAAAGGCCACTAGTTAGACAACTATATGCAAAAATTTGATTAGAAAATATCCAAAATGGGGTGCAATCCAGCAAATTTTAAATATTGTAGCAAAAACATAATAAAAAACTTTTCTTATCGATTGCTGATTTCGAGTGAAAGGTGATCTTTAAACATAGAGGACTACTTTAGAATCACCATATGATTATCTTAAAAAAAAAAAAAAAAAAGTTCAAATTCTTTTGTTAAAATTTAAGGGCCAGAGTTTACAATGTGCTCCAGGAATAACGGTCGGGTTTGGGCATTGGAATGTTGAGCTAACCTTTTACTGGAAAAAAATGTTTGCATTTGGACATTTCTGAACTCAAACATGTAATATTTTTTGGGAAATAACATTGAAGTCCAAACCGGCTTTTCACTCAAGAAAATCGATCTAGAGAGCCAATGTCAAAAATCTAATGTCTGAACTTGTCTTTTGCTATAAAATAAAAAACCGAATTCACATTGGATGTCCACACTGAGTACGAAATTAGAATAAGAAAAGACTTGAGCTTAGAATAAAAAATATGTAAAACTTCTTTTAGCCACGAAAAGCTTATAACTTCTTATTTTACTGTGAAAATTATGTATTCCTCTTTGGACCCAACATACTCACTCTTAATATTCACGAAACCATATTATTAACATGAATACTATTTATTTTTGTACCCGACCCCCAAGTAAAAAAAATAGTTTTTTTTTAGAATAAAAAATATCTCTTATAACCCATGTTTCTCTTGCACCCACCCCTCGTTTTTTTAAATGAAGCTAGTTCAACACATAATGTGCCAGACAATCTTCTAGTAGGGGTGGCAATGGGTCAAGTTGGGTCCAAGTCATTTGGAGCCAGATCCAACCCATACATGAGTCTAAAAAAACATGCAGGGCCAAAGATGCCCTAGCCCTATCAAGGTTGACCAGGCTAGGCCAGGCTAAATAATTAAAATAAAACAAACAAACAAAAAATAAATAAGGGTTGGGCTAAGCTGAACCGGGCCAGCCCTATCTTGGCCCATGCCCGACCTAGCCCATGCTGGATGACCTAGCCCTCGAGCCACATTTTGTGGCCTAGCCCTAGTTTCTTAGGCGGTCCATTACAACCCTTAAATAGATGGTGTTATAATTAATATTGTGATTTAAGAAGTGTTGGCTATGAGCATGCTCAAAAAGTTGGGCTTGGTGGATATCTATAATTTTTTCTTTATGTTATTCACATAATTTACATAAAGAGAAGGTTTATATAAGGGTGGGGCCCTAAACAATCAAATTAAGGCGCACCATAAATATTCACTAAAAAATATTGTTTTAATGTTGAAAAACCTTCAATTCGATCGTCTTGACCTCAACATGGATATGAGAAGAAATAGATTTCAAGTCTTAGAGATAATGCATTTTCAAGTCTTAGAGATAATACATCTTGTTGTGTATTATGTAGACCTTTGATAGATATGCTCCACCCGTTAAAGATAATGCACACGTTTGTTTACAAATGGAATAATATTGGAATCGGCGCGTGAGAGAGGGGAGCATGCCCTTTAAAGTTGGAGCTCGGTCAAAAATTGATGGGCGTCAAAAACGTCAACGTGTCAAAATCTTAGTGGCCATCGTTTTAAGTAATGACTCGGATGAATGCACCAGGTCCAGGAAAATGGGCCGGCGGGATTGAATTTCCCTAGGGCCTTGCCGGAAAAAAAGCCATTCACGTCCCAACCCGAATTCTCACTTTCCGACCAAATTCCGGCCAAATTTGGGCTGCAATTTTGATTCAATCTGTAGTTCCCGTCGATTTTTTTCCTTTGGAATTGCTAAGGGTTCTCCTAAAACGTCAATTCCCGATATCAGTGAGTTTTTCAGGTGGGATTTAGACCGGTTTTGACCCAATTATGTGATCATCCGCAACTCTCTACTGATTTTTTTGGCCCTCTATCTGAGCTTCGGCGATTATTCTGCGGTTTCTGGATACTATCGCTGTATTAACTCTTAAAGGAGATTTTCTGGCGAGTTTTCATTGAATGCTGAGCTAATATGCCATTTTTAGGGCTTTTTTTTGTTGAAATTTGATTGATTTTGGGAAACAAGCATATTTGGCCATCTAAACCTAGAACTTTTTTGAAGAAGATATTTTATTGAAGTTTCTGAGATAAGCTGCGAATTTGGTAGAATTGCTGAAGTTATCTGGAACTTTTGGTGGGTTCTTCTAATGATAGTTTAGAGTTGCTTTTTTCTTTGAGGATTTGAAAATGGAAGAAACAGGTGGTTCGGGTCGGAAAAACATTACGTTGAACCAGAAGCCTGTCTACAGTTTATCAAAGAAGAAATCACCAGATGATGGTCGATTATCTGGTTCATTTCGTTCTCCGTATGTCTATATTATCTTTTTCTCTGTAGTTTCTTTTTTGTTTTTCTGGTGGGACTTTATCATCCATTTAATTTCTTAAGTTTGATAGTGCTTCATTTCATTCTTGGAAGTCTTATTTTCTTTTGCAAATTGATAGTATCTACTTTATTTTTGTGCAAGCTTGATGGTATTCATCACTAGTTTTGTAGTTTCATATAATTTGCTTCTTTTTTTTGTTGTTGTGTTTTTCTTCTTCTCATTTGGTGGCATCCATTTTCTTTTAGTATTTTCTTTGGAAGCCTGATTTCCATATGAGATGTTCATTTCAACTTTCAGATTAGCAGGTTATTTCTCATTTCGGTTTCTTAAGAGACATTTTAATTTTGTGGAATCCAAAATTCTGGTTCTTACAAAGTGGAGGTTCTAGCAAATGCAAAACCGAGGATAAGTTTTCTTATTAATTTGATTCCACCAACTTATGATTGACACATTCGTGCACTAGAATTGATGTATTTGTTGATTTTATGTAATGAACAAACACTTTTTGGTATATTTAATTATCAATTTCCTCGTTGTTGATTCAATGGCCTGGCTCCAATTTTAATTTGTGCAATTTATTATGGTCTATATGGTTCATTAGCGTACACTGTTAATTATTACAAGATATCTGTCTCAAGTATTGCACAACAAAACTATAGAAAAGAGTGGGAAAAAAAAGAAGACTAAAACTTAATTTAAGAACTGCAAAATACATGTTGATGCAACTTGAAAACTGAAATTTATGAACGAAAAAGATAATATTCATGCAGGTTTGTTGAAGATCCGAATACCAGAAACCCCAATTTAGCCGATCACCGAATATCACATATTGAATAACAAATATGTAAAATCGATAATCCAATAATAAGCTCAAGGATCGTGTACAACAATTTAATAAAATAAATTAGAGATGGAAAACATAGTCATGAGAGAAAATTAGAGAGACAAACCACAACACCAATTTAGCGTGGTTCACCCCGTAGGGCTACGTCCATGGCAAGCAGACAAGTATTCCACTATCAAAAGAGAAATTTACAGGGGATACAGTATTACCTCAAAAGGAGAAAAATTGATGAAAAAACATCACCAAGAATACCTTCCTTGTGATCACCCAAAAACACGATTTACCACGCTTCCCTTCGGATGACCCAAGAACAAGAGCAACACAAGCTCATACCATTTCTCCCAAAAATAGGACAAGAAAATTCTTCTTCACCTCCTTCCCTTTCTCAACACAACCCAAAGAATCCTAGCCACTTTTCTAGAAAGGGAGTGGAGTTTAAAACCAAGAAGAATCGTATCCATCAAAAAACCCATTTATTTTGGCTTTTTTACAAGCCACCTAATTGTAGTGACCAAAAAGCCCCCAAACAAATGGTAAAAGACAAAAGCATCCAAAAGAGTGATTTTTCTATCACCATTCAACAGTCTCCACTTTAATAGTAAATCACATACTTGCCTTGCAGATAATCCCTTTTTTACTTCTTCATGAAGCCTAGAGAAATTAGGCTTCATTCCAACTTCTCTTCTGGAACTGTCTTCGTGAGCATATCCGCCACATTTTCCTTGGTTCCAACTTTCACTAAACAAACCAAACCATCTTCAATAACTTGTTGAACATAATGGTATCGAACTAGTATGTGCTTCGTCCTCTTGTGATCAACGGGATTCTTAGCCAAATTAATGGCACTCATATTATCACAAAGTATTTCCATGGGCTTAGAATTAATATCCAATTCTCCCATAAGGGCTTGAAGCCAAACCGCTTCTTTGCTTGCTTCGGTTGCAGCCATGTATTCCGCCTCGGTGCTGGACAATGCCACCGTTGATTGAAGCTTAGACATCCAACTTACGGGTCCATTTTCAAACTTGAAAACATAGCCGGTATTGATCTTCCTCTATCAAGATCACCGGCATAATTTGCATCAACATAGTCTTGAATGTGCCCTCGAGCCTTTGCTAAATGTCATGGCATAATCACTCGCGCCTCTCAAATAACGAAGCACCCATTTTGCACCTTCCCAATGAGCTTTTCCGGGATTTGCTATAAAGCGACTCAAGAGACCAACCGAATATGCTAGTACACACCATGGCAAATATAAGGCTTCCCACAACACTTACGTACGGTACCTTAGTCATATTCTTTTTTTTATCCACGGTCTTCGGACTTTGCTTGGAAGACAACTTGAAATGAGAAGCTAATAGAGTCGTCACTAGCTTTGCCTTGCTCGTGCCAAACTTATCAATGGTAGGGATCTTGGGAACCCCTTAGTTTGCGGAACCAGGAATCCAAACACTGGGTCCCACCCAAGATCGTGTACATGATGGACTAAATGTGAAGTAGATGAATACAACTATAAATCGAATACGAGAAATAAAGCAAAAACAAAAAAAAGGCACACCACAACAATACAAGATTTACGTGGTTCACCCCGTAGGGCTACATCCACGGCCTCGGCAACTAGAAATCCATTATCACAATGAAGATTACAGTTTTGAGTTAAAAGAGATAGACCTCTCTCTAAATATCGATAAAAGATCATCACCGATCTTCCCTTCTAAACCCGTTCTCCCGACCGAGCAACACCGTCGATCAACATCCTCTTTCCTACCGCAATACCGCTACTAGAAAAATAACCTCGAGAGCAACGTAGAGATTTTATCTCTCTAGAAGTGGAAGTTAACCAACCCAATACTCATAGGAATACCGACCCTATCTCAGAGGCCATGTCTCTCTCTTGGAGACCCATCTCTATATCGGAGATCCATTCCCATAACCCCCAAAGGGGTGACCCTTAAAGGATGGGTATTATGTCCTCCTTTACTCTCTTATAAAGATATCACTTTCTTGCTTCTCAAGAAAGTCAATTTTCTATTTCCCATAATACCCTAATCTCTAGAAGAAACATGGGTATGGTGATTTAGCTATCACCAAACCCAAAAATCTCCACCTTGATAGCAAAATCACCATAATTGCCTTGACAACCTCCATTGAATAGATTTCTTGATTTCTTCATACTTGCCTCCATTGTAGAATTTTCACAAACACTTTGCATTCATATATCTCCATCTCAAACCATGGATATTTCTTCATTTCTTCTCACTTGCCTCCATTGTGGAATTTTCACAAACAATTTGCCTTCATATTTCTCCACCTCAAACCATGTATCCATAAAACTTCGTCATTCCACTTTTTCTTAATATAAACCTTAGCCTTGTACACACCTTGTGCTCTGATACCAATTGCAGGGATCTCAGGAACCGTTTAGCTTGCAGAACCGGGAATCCCAAACACCAGGATCCCACCCAAGATCGTGTACATGATTGGCTAAATGCACAGTAAATGAATACAACTAGAAATCGAGTGCGAGAAATAAAGCAAACACAAAAAAGGTACACCACAACAACACAAGATTTATGTGGTTCACCCCGTAGGGCTACATCCATGACCTCGACAACTAGAAATCCACTATCACAATGAAGATTATAGTTTTGGGTTAAAAGAGGTATATCTCCCTCTAAACATCGGTAAAAGACCATCACCAATCTTCCCTTCTAAACCCGCTCTCCCGATCGAGCAACACCGTCGATCAATATCCTCTTTTCCACCGTAATACCGCTACCGAAAAGATAACCTCGAGAGCAACGTGGAGATTTTCTCTCTCTAGAAATGAAAGTTAACCAACTCAAAACTCATAGGAATACCGCTCCTCTCTCAGAGGCCATGTCTCTCTCTTGAAGACCCATCTCCATATTGGAGATCCATTCCCATAAACCCTAAAGGGGTGACCCTCAAAGGATGGGTATTATGTCCTCCTTTACTCTCTTATAAAGATATCACTTTCTTTCTTTCCAAGAAAGTCAATTTTCTATTTCCCATAATACCCTAATCTTTAGAATAAAACATGGGTATGGTGATTTAGCTATCACTAAACCCAACAAGGTGGATAAAATAAATGTTTTGGATCTGCTTACTTTTGTCACTTCCTTAAAATTTGCCTATTTTGAATTCAGGGGTGGTTAGGTCGTCAGCTGCTTTAGAATTATGTCTTATTTTGTCACATCAAGATAACAGCATGCCTAACTTCTTTATGCCAATAAGGCAAGAATGAGTTGACTTCCTATTTTTCAAACTATGTTTATGTGACAGCTAAGGTTGCATTGGTCAGCAAGCAAGTGAAAGAGAGAAGTATACTCGAGCATTTTTTAGAATAAACTAATCATAGAAGTAAATTAGACTCTTAAAAAATTCTAGTTTCAACATACCTAGTTAATATAAAAGATCAGTCCCATTGAAACCATATGTTGAGCATTCTGTCTGTTGAATCAGAAAATTGGGCGATCCACTATCTTGAGTTTTAGATAACCAATGGAAAAATTAAGTACTTGGCTCTCCCTTTTCAGAATGCTTTCATTTTCTGAATGCTTTCATTCACCTTTTTTCTCTGCATAAATGAGTTGCAAAAGTTTAGTGTTTAGGAGTTCCTTTCTCATTACTTTGGTCCATCAAACCTTATAATTTGTCTCTATTTCATCTTGTTGAGCAGAATGTCAGGGGAAAGAACCGTAGAGCGCTTGAAATTGTCGAAGGCTTTGACAATTCCTGACAGTACAACTGTTTATGAAGCCTGCCGTCGAATGGCTTCTCGTAGAGTTGATGCTGCACTGTTAACCGACTCAAATGCTTTACTCTGTGGTATCATAACTGATAAGGTTTGTAGAAGTCTTTCTTATGCTGGTTCGTAATTCTTATTACAATGTTCTTCACATATTTTATCTGAAGACTCTTTTTTTTCTCCTTGATGGTAGGATATAGCAACAAGGGTCATTGCTCAGGAATTGAAGCTTGAGGATACACCTGTCTCTAAAGTTATGACAAGGAACCCGGTCTTTGTTTTATCAGATACTCTTGCAGTTGAAGCATTGCAAAAGATGGTTCATGGTTTGTAAAGAGTTATTTGTAATCCTGAAAAGTTTGTGGAATTTTTGGGTGCATGTTGAATATATAAAGATTGTTTGAAATTTCAAATCCATGAATTCTCAATTACAGAATATTCTTTGCAGGAAGGTTCAGACATTTGCCTGTTGTGGAGAAAGGTGAAGTGATTGCTTTACTTGACATTACAAAATGTCTCTACGATGCTATTGCTCGAATGGAGAGGGCTGCAGAGAAGGGTAAAGCCATTGCAAAAGCAGTTGAAGGAGTGGAAAGACAATGGGGTACTAATGTGTCTGGTTGGTGGAAAGCATTTTGGTTGAACATTTTTTTCTATGATTAGTGTTTATCCTTTTGATATAGTAGAATTGTAGTGGGTTCTTTCCTTCTTTCAAAACCGTTGCTTTCTTCACAATTAATGATGGAAAAATTGTCTATTAGATCTCTTTAACTCCCATAGATGTTTATCCCCTTTGTGATTTCACAGCACTCTTGTACTTCTTTATTAGACATTAGCCCCTCAGCTTGTATCTGGAACACCCATTTTATTTGTTAGTGCTACTAAAGAATGCAATTGGTGATAATCATCTGCCTTTTTCTTGTTAACTGGCAGGTTCTAATACCTTTATTGATACTCTTCGGGAGAGAATGTTTAGGCCCAATGTGGCTACAATCATTAGTGACAATACAAAGTAGGTAATATCCTTATTTGGGCCTTTTCTTTCTCATTTTCTTGTCCCTTAAAACAACTGTAGTTGAATCCCAATTTTCATGTGGATGAATTATATGCTAGCTTAATGCCCCTCTGGTTGACTGAGCCTGGTGGCTTTTTTCAGAGTAGCCATAGTCTCACCAACAGATTCGGTGTTAACAACCACAAAGAAGATGCTTGAACTTCGAGTAAATTCGGCAATAATAACAGATGGGAATAAGCCACTGGGAATCCTTACGTGCGCATCTTCTGAATTATGGCTCTGTTTACATCTTTGGAGTTTTTTTGGATATACTGACCATGGTTCTGTAGTTATTTTTGAAGCCTGAATTTAGTATTTGATTGTGATGTGATTTTGGCAGTTCAAAAGATATTTTGATGCGTGTCATTGCACAAGACCTCTCGTCAGAGTCAACTTCTGTGGACAAGGTATGTGTCTTCTTACTGTAGCGATGTTTGGTTTTTCTTATTGTTTCTTGCTACATGAACTGTATTGAGGGCATGTCTGATAGCTTTTTTTATACATATTGAAGATTCTTTTGCCTGAGTGATTCTACCATGGAGTTATGAACATCTTAAGCTTTGACCAATTCAAAGATATTGGCATTTACAATCTGGGACAAAGCTCACCTTCAACTTCTTCTTATAAACATTTCCGCTGGAATTTACTTTTTTGGTTCTCAATTTTCTTATTCTCTTGCTGTCGAAGTTAACATAACGGGCCAGATGTTCAACTTTGTGAGGTTCCCAACCTTATCAAACTGGATGGATTCTCAGTCCAGACCATAAAGTGAAGGTTTCATCCTCCTCTGACCAGCCGGACTATCGGTTCAGATCATGTTATGGTTGGTATTTTTTTTGGGACTGTCAACTTGGACCTGGTGAGAATGGAGTTCTAGACGTCACGATGAGGCACCCACCACCCGGAACATCTCTAACTAGAGACATTCTCCTTTTGAAGTTATTATTCATTTCAAATTGCTGAATTGTTATAGTCATAGAAACAAAATCTATAGGTTATTCTTAGTTCACACAAATAATCAATATCTCTTCTACTATGGAAATTTCAAAACTTCCTAGTTAATAAAAATTTAAAATTGAATAGAAATTCTGACACTTAAACTGTCACTTATTTAAAAGCTACTTATTTGGACGTTGAAACTGTGTAATGTAAATTAAATCTAGGGCTGACACTTAAACTGTCACTTATTTAAAAGCTACTTATTTGGAAGTTGAAACTGTGTAATGTAAATTAAATCTAGGGGGGTCGAATTTCATTCGAGTTTGAATTAAGTACCAGTTTGGAATTTCTTATTTGTGAACTTGGCCATGTTGGGATTTTTTTATTTTTTTGTTTCTTTTTTTTGTGTGTGGGTAACCTATTGTTAAGGGTTAAAATGTTATTTCATGTAAAGAAGTCGATAGAGAAGATAGGGTGGAATTCCCCCGAGTCAAAGGGATTATGGTGTGGAGTTTCAAAGTGGTGAATGAGTGGTGAATGAGTGGGAACTCTTGGTCAAAGTGGAAAGTTCTAATGCATGGGAATTCAGCTGCATGCGTAGAGACTTAGATCAAGGAATTCGATTGAGTGTAGGGTACATCCAAGGGAAATTTGTGCGTATGAAATTGGGAGCAATGGTAGTATGGCAATTTCTATCTTACTGTAAGAGCAATTTAGTCATTTTTGTCTAAGATTTGCTGGATCTTCTTTTGGTTTACTTGGACGATGATGTCTGTATTTATGAAAGGAAATCCCTTTTCTCCTGCTTGGTGTAGTAGACAATTCCGCCAACTAGATATTGGCACAGCCCTACTTGGTGTAGTGGAGTGTTGAGGGCTGGAAAGACCCTTATTACTTTCCCTTCCTTGACGGTGATTGAGGGAGTTTCCTTCTTAATCCATTGACTAGCTCGTCAAGTTATTGTTGCAAAATCGGTCTTGGATCTCTCGTTTCTGATTGCTCTTTTTGCACCATGAAATACACCATGACAAAAAAACACGTTAAACCACTCAAAATTTCATCATTTCTGGTTATTTGGTTGGTGGCGACTCATTTGCACCTAATGAATGAATCTGGGGTCAAAGTCCACCTCATATATCCCTGACATATCTCAAATTGAAAATTCCTTAATGACCACCCTGTATTTGTCAGTTACTGGCATGATAAGCCAGCGGGCTGCTGTGCAACTAGGTTTAGGAGGCTTAGGTCTTTTTCTGCTCCCTGGACAACCTATGGGGCCAGCTAGAGCACCCAAGGGCTATGACCATTTGGGTACGAAATCGTGGCTTTAATAACATTGCTTTAGAAACCTTAAATATCATGTGAAGCTGACAGTACAGCAACTTTGTATTAGGGAAAAGCCTTTTATTTATCTCTATTTTTCATTGTAGATTGATTTTTTAATAGAAAAGTTGTAATTTATCTCCAATTTGGATTCATATAGAGAAACAATTTATTAGTGAAGACAATAATCTCATGGATAATTTATAATTAGTATATCTATCAAGTGAAGAGATTGGAGCTGGTGATAAGTCGTATATTTCAGTTCCCTTTCCCATCTCTATCCATGCATTATTTGAATGGTGCAATTGGATAAGTATTTTGATATTAATTGGCTGGATGAGTGTTTGGAAACTCCGATTGGGTTCAGACTCGGACCTGGTCTGGTGCAAATCACCTCGGTGAGGGTTGGCTCGCTGAGTCAAGGCAAGTTGCCTCCAGCTGGCCCTCCCAACCCCTGTAATCTTCTTCTGCGGAGGTCCCCCCTTCACTCTCTTCATGACACCCTCCCTCTCCAAGCTTCCTGTTACATCTTCTCTCCCCCTTTTTTTTCCCCTTCTATCGTAGATCCACTCTCCTCCTTGGTTCTTCATCTTTCATTTTCGTCTTGTTCAAAACAAATAATGCCACCATATCTCCTTACATCACCAGAGCCTTTGTTGCTGTTACAATCCCTTCTTCTTGCCCCTGCTGGACCCTTTCTTCCTTATCAACCAAAAGTAGACAGGAAACCCATTCCTTGATTGCAATGATTGAATCTGGTGTTGATAGGAGAAAGGAAGCCAAGCCCAAGACATCAGCAGCAGGTATGTGAAAACCCAGGACTCCTTGCTGCTTTTGCTCCTTCCATTGCTTTCCATACCAGAGTAAAGTCAGAGATTTTAGGGGTTTTCGACTCTTTGCAGACCAGAGATTCTGGGGGCTCTCATCTCTCTAGAGAAAGTTCAAGGTTTTGGGGTTTCTCACTCTGAAAACTGGCAGGGCAGAGGGTTCTTTTATCTCTACAAAAATCAGTATACTTAGGGTGTCTGCTGTAAAGCATTGGACAAGAGAGAAATAAAAGGGGCTATAAAATTCCATTCTGGAATGAGGATGGTAAAATTCTGCAGCTTTGTGAGTGGAAGGATGTCTACTTTGCTGTGTTTTAGAGAGTGTTCCATTCCCCAACCCTGTTTGCTTTGGGCTGCTGTTCTTCTTTCCCCCTCACCAAACAAGAGAAAAATCCATTGAGGATAACAGTGTTTTAAAATGCAGGATGCGACCCTGATGCGGTGGGGGGCCAATGCAGCGATGTGGCTCGATGCGGTCCAGATGAGGTCAATAAATGTAAAGAAATTCTAAAAAATCTAAAAAAATAAGTTAATGCATAAAAAAAAATATGAAGGTGATATATGTGATAGTAGGTATTTTAGTTTAATGATTAACTTCAAAACTATTTGTTGTCGGAGATTCTATATCCAGTTATCCATTTTCCCCTGATAGAAACTAGAAACTTGAAACTAGCTTCATAAAGCATTCAACAATCAGCAACCATAAGCACAAATTTGGACCATAAGCACATCCTTCAACGACCATAAGCACAAAATAGTGATATTACAAAATACAAACCAAAAGTCAAGCTCAAGAAGAGTTAATAGTTAATAACTTAATACAATCATCCATTTTGAGAGTTAATTTTGAAATTTGAACTTCATTTTTTCAAATATCAATCAGACAAATCATCTTGAGAGTCATCATGCGCATCATCAATATCATCCTCGACAGCCTCCTTGTATTCTTCTTCATCGGTCTCTTCTGAGTCAGCTTCCTCCTCCTCGACCTCTGTAGCTAATTTGCAAGTGCGACTAGACCCAGCAGCTCCTCTACCCCTTTGTGCTCTAATGTTAGCTCGATCTTCTTCATTTGCCCCTGTTGCTAGCTCGACATCAAGCCATGTAAGATCCTCACCCTCAAACACACGCTCTTGTCTTGGATCCATGGTCCACTCACTTAAGGAATCACCATCAGCTTCATATAATTGAATAGGGTTGAGCTTCGTGTGATTTTCATTCCTCTCCCTAAGCTGCTCATTATACTGCACATAAATCAAATCATTCAACTTTTTCTGCTCCAACCTATTTCTTTTTTTCGTATGGAGCTGTGGTAGAAATTTGAAATCAGATAAATTAGATTTTAGATTAGAAAATTGAAATTCAAGAAATAAGGATTAAGGAATAAGGAGTAAAGGACTTACATGCTCAAATGCACTCCAATTGCGCTCACAATCAGATGAGCTACATGTGAGATTCAACACTCGAATAGTGAGACATTGTAGATTTGGTGTCTTGCTTCAATATAATGCCCACCATGCAGTTGTATAATATTTTATAATTTAGAAGATAGTTAAAAATTAAGGGTATAAAATAAACAATTGAACTATATATAAAGTAAGAGACAAGTAAGATTATTTTTGGGCTTTTGGCCTTTACCTGGATCTATAGTGCCCCTATTTCGAGTGGCAATATCTCTTCCAAAGTTTTCCGAGGCTAACTTGAACTTAATCAATTCATGGCCCTGGATCTCATCCTGGATATCTTTGTCTGGCACCAACCTCTCCAGCACATCTAAGAACCCACCATTTATTACACGATCTGACTCAATGGATGGGTGCTTGTAGTGAAGAGATCGGTTTAGAAAGTAACCGGCTGAATGGAGGTGCTTGTGAAGCTGAGTATCTCATCTCTTATCAATAATTTCAAGTATAGCCTTGCGCATATTTTCATCATCCTTTAAAACATCTTTTATTTCAGTTCTTGCCCTAGTCATTGCCTCATGTATGTAGCCCATAGCGGGCTTCGCATCACCATCAACCAGTCGAAGCACTCTCACTAAAGGGCGAGCCACCTCCAATGCAAGAATTATTTGACTCCAAAAAGATGTATTCAGAATAATTTTTTCAGCCTTTCTCCCATCCTTATGCTTTGACCATTTGCTTTGACTCCATTGCTCTGAAGCAAACATGGTCCTCAAGGCACTTTTTTGCTTGGCTAGGCTTCGAAGAGTGAGAAATGACGTGGCAAATCTAGTGATGCCCGGTCTCACTAATTCTCTCTTCTTTGTAAAAGACCTCCATACTTAGGACTATTGTGTGATTGTAAATAAATCCAACAACAAATATAGCTCTTGAAATCACTCCACTAAATAAAGATGTTGTACCCATTTTCTTAAGCATACGATTAACACAGTGAGCTGCACAAGGAGTCCAAAACATATGCTTCCTTTTCAAAGTCAAGAAATGCCCAGTTGCAGCATAGTTGGCATCATTGTCAGTGATAATTTGTACCATATTTTGCTCCCCAACAAAATCGATAATCTCATCCATCAAGCCACACAAGTATGTACCATCATGCGACTTGTCTGATGCATCAATAAACTTATAAAAAAAAGTATGTGTTGGGCAGTTAACCAAAAAATTAATGAATGCCCTTGATTTCCCATCGGACCAACCATCACACATAATAGTGGTCCCATATTTCTCCCACCCTTCTATCTGAGAAATCAAAATTTTATTCACATCAAATATAACATCCTTCAACAGGGGCTCCCTAACCTCATGTAGTGAAGGAGGAATAAGTCTTGGGCCATATTGCCTAATTGCCTGGACCATACATGCAAAACTATCCAGAGTTATAGTATTAAAAGGAATGCCGGCCATGTAAATCCACTTTGCAATCCACTTACATACCGCCTTCCTTTATTCTTTCTTATATTTATTTTCAATTGTGGTTTGTTTTGTTTTTTTCTCTCTCTTAAACCACAATTTCGGGGCTAGGGGTGAATAAAGAATCCATTGGCCCCTTAGAGAGAGGTGTTCTTCTCTCAGCACTACCAC